ATACTTTCATTCTCACTTGGCTAATATTTTTGTAAAGTATTACTTTAACCATGGTGATAACGATTATCATGGACAACAAATTACGATAGACTTTTAAATAATTGATAAGACCTTAGCTTTGGTTATATAACTACCTGAGGTTTTGTAAATATTTTATTGTATTTTGAAAGTTTCAACTGGAAACACACTGAAATAAATCTCATTAATCATGTATGAATTCACGAAAAGTGTCACTGCAACAGGAACCTTAATGAATATATATTCATGTATTTCTCCCGAGGCAAACAATATGGATGTCGTGTACAGTAAAGCTGTATAGGGAATATTTGTTATGATGTAACTATACAAAAGGATTTACATGTAGATAGATAGATACCTTCCATATAACAATTCTTTTTTTTTTTTTTTTTTTGAAAATATATCCTTCAGTTTATTTCAGGAAATATTTAGCAATCTATGTATACATTGTTAATTATTTTGTTTTATAATGTGAAAAAGAAAATCTATCATTTTCACTTAAATATTATAACTTGTTTCATTCTTAAGCTGAGTGATAGTGCATTGTTATAAGATCTTACAGCACAAACATGTTTGAATTAAAGTAACCTTGCTTACAAATAAAAAAATAAACTTAAGTTTTTATGTGAAAATCTTCTGCTTTTAAATTAGAGATCTCCAGTTTTGACCTCTTCACAGGTACAGATGAATGACTAAGTTTTATTTGGATGACACAATTGACATCTTTATGAGATATATCAAATAAGTAGAGTATATATCAAGTGTTAGAAATATATACAAGGTCATGTATATATACAAAATAATGAAGGCGTGTCTTCTATTGTCTCCATTTGATATTTGTTGGTTTAATTGACATGTAACATAATGTGATATAAATTAAAACACATTATTCATGTAGTGTCATATGTTATTCTTTCTTTCTTTCCCTTTCTTTCTTTCTTTTTCCTTTCCCTTTCATTCTTTCTTTCTTTCTTCCTTTCTTTCTTTCCTTTTCTTTCTTTCTTTCTTTTCTTTCTTTCTGTTTCCTTTCCCTTTCTTTCTTTCTTTCTTTCTTTCTTTCTTTCTTTCTTTCTTTCTTTCTTTCTCTCTCTCTCTTTCTTTCTTTCTTTCTTTCTTTTCTTTCTTTCTTTCTTTTTCCTTTCCCTTTCTTTCTTTCTTTTTCCTTTCCCTTTCTTTCTTTCTTTCTTTCTTTCTTTCTTTTTCCTTTCCCTTTCTTTCTTTCTTTCTTTCTTTCTTTCTTTCTTTCCTTTTTCTTTCTTTCTTTCTTTCTTTTTCTTTCACTTTCTTTCCCTTTCTTTCTTTCTTTCTTTTTCCTTTCCCTTTCTTTCTTTCTTTCTTTTTCCTTTCCCTTTCTTTCCCTTTCTTTCTTTCTTTCTTTCTTTTTCCTTTCCCTTTCTTTCTTTCTTTCTTTATTTCTTTCTTTCTTTCTTTCTTTCTTTTTCCTTTCACTTTCTTCTTTCTTTCTTTCTTTCCCTTTCTTTCTTTCTTTCTTTTTCCTTTCCCTTTCTTTCTTTCTTTCTTTCTTTCTTTTTCCTTTCCTTTCCTTTCTTTCTTTTCTTTCTTTCTTTCTTTCTTTCTTTATCCTTTCCCTTTCTTTCTTTCTTGTTTTACATACAGGTAGTCACTGTCAAGGTGTATATACAATTCACCAAGCACAAACCCTGGAATTTTCAAGAATAAAATTTCAATCTTTGCTTATTCAAAAAAGTACCAATTATTCAGCATCATCATTTTAATTGGTACTGGAGGAAGTAATATTGAAATATTGCAATATTTATGTTTCTAATTGTTTGAATTCTTGAAATTTTTTGAAAATTTCCTAAAAAGAAGTGATATCCCTTAGACATTTATATATATCAACGTAGATATAATTTAGAATGTCCAGAATTCCGGTAAACAGTGGTTATTATTTGCTAAAGTTCTGTATCTCGGATCCATTTAATGGGATGATAAACCTATTCTATATACAAACCTATTGTATCTTGGCTGGTTATCATGAAACAGTCTATTTTTCTCAGTATATAACAGATACACTGGTAGGTTCTGTACTGTACACAATTTGCCATTTTGAGAAGATCCAGGTGGTATTTCAATAGTATTCAATAACAGTGCAATCAAGCTTGGTCTTAGCTATATATGTGAGGAACAGCAGGTTGTCCATTTGGGATGCCAGTTGTGTAAATGAAATCTCTCTGTTGGTGACTGGTTCATTATCCATTCTGTAAATTGGATCCTGCTATTGAAATCTTGAGAGTTCGGAAGTTCCCTGTTTACATTATGATCTGACAGTTCCAAGCTGTTAAAAGTTCGCTCCCTACCCTTTCCTCCCACGAGAATCTATTATGTTTCGTCTAATTTATAGAAATATAAATGTTATAGTTAGAAGGAAATTTGAAGAATCACAGACACTGTGATTCTCTTTTATCTTTTGTTTAATTTTGATAAATATATAATTCAAAGCCGATATAATGAAGATAAAAACTTTTCATTTTTTATAAAACAATTTCATTTTAGTCTATAACTTCAAACAAATGTGCCAAGTGTTTTTTTTAATTTTCTGAAAAAAATAACACCTATATAGAGACTAAAGGGTTGCCTACACCTGTCATTCTGTCCATTCATTCTACACAACTAATGATGAGAACTTATGCTTGAGATATGGGTTCACCATAGTGAAATGGTTTCATGAATCAAATGTAAGTGACTTTGACCTACATTTTGACCTTTGACCTACATCATAGAAAAAGTTTGGATGTGGCCCTTTCTCCTAGGGTATTAATCACTGGAACTTCATACTTGGGATATTGGTTCACCTGGTGAGATGATGTGTCACATTTGAAAAGTATTTTTGAAAAGTGTTTTTTTTTTATATTTTTTTTTTAAAAGTATTTTTTAAAACAGGACAAACAATTTTACCTTAGACTTATTACAAAGATAAAGATTGCCAGGGTTCAATTCTCTATGTACATTACTAGTCACTGGAAATTCAGTCTTTGGCTATATGTTCAATTTGGTCAGATACTGTGTCAGTAGGGGAATGTAATTCTCCTAATTGTCTTGCTGTAAATATATCTTGTGTACTCCGATTTCCGATATTAGTTTACCTTAAACCAGCTGATATTATTTACCAAAGTAATTGACTATAAACTAGCCTTGTAAAGGTTCCAGGTGCTAGCTCAGGGAAGGAAACTACACTGGGCCTGAAAAATGATCTGTCTGAGATCTAAGAGTGGTGATACTAGCACATCCTGCAGCAGCAGACTGTTTTCAAGGACATCTTCATTCTGATCTATAGAGTCTTTAATTTCTTGTCTGATTGTCATGAAACTCCATCCATGTTTTTAAAAATCAGCATCTCTTGGTAAAGTACTGATAGAAGATAAAGTTTGCAAAACATTGGGAATTGCAACCTCACTACTGATATAATTATGGATAAAATTTCATTACATGTATCTCTTTAAAGATTTCATGAAACCTAGCATTTCACAAATTCCATTAAACATCACCTCAAGCTCTTGTGTCAGTGTTTGTTGTAATAATAGACTCAAAAATTAGGTCACTGTTACTTTTACATCACATAATTCTCATCTCTGCATGATTTCCTTGAACAACAGGTAGGTTATCAACATTCTCCTGTTATAGACATTGGTTAGTGTGGTTCACCCCATCAACAGTCAGGGTAATTTTGAGGTGGAGGCTCCGTGTAGCTGGTGGCTACAGACCGTTAACTGTTTAACATTCCCAAAAAAACAGTCCTGTTTGTATCTTGTGCTTTAGGATCCTTTGCATTTTGAATTCGATTGTCAATCGTTTTCTGTTTACATTTGTGTTTATATTTAAGATAATTTTCGTTTTGCATTTTGTGTGCTATATTCGAAATATCGGAATTAATATGCCGATGCTAGAGCACTAAATATTGAAGCGATGCGACCCATAGGTTGTCCATAATCGTGTGAGGAAAATGGAAATAGGGAGCATACAAAAAATTGAGATTGAATGAATGTCTGGGTGAATTTGCACAAAGTTTCATGCCGAGATAGACGAAAAAGTCTCGGCTATATCAGAATTATTACTGTAACAGATGAGAAAATGAATGATATTCATCAAATAGTACATAATATCATACATTAAAATTGTTGACTTCAACAGTTTGTAAACATCCAAAATTCTGAATCTGATTATGTAGATCTAAATGATTTTTAAAAAGTTTGTTTTAAAGAGAATCATTATCATTTTTGAAATTTGTAATATGATGATAAAAGTAATGTTTTATTCAGTGTTTTCATGTTATCTGATAGTTCATACATCATATAGCTGACATATCAATTATAGCTATGATATTTGATATAATATTAAAATATCAAACTGAAGTAACATATTAAATATCTCAGGTTGTGTTAACTTATAAATCTGAAGTTATAGTGTGGCGTCTGTTGTTCTGGTATCTGAAAGTCGGACACACCTGTCTGGTGTAAAGTTTAAAGAAATGAAGTGTTCAGCAACACACCATGGTATTTTAGAAATATTTGCAAAAAGCTTTGGATTCAGATTAATGATAACCATTTTGAATGGTCCTTTAATGATAACCGTTCTGGAAAGGTCCTCTAATAATCGTGATTCTTCTTCTCATTTGCTATACTCAATTTAATTCATTGGCAGTGCATTGTAATGGGTCCATGACCATCTGTATTTAATAAAACGTACCAGTGAAGTGTGATTTTGTGTATCTGTTGTGAGTAATTTGTCATAACATGGTGTATTTTTATTGTTGGGTTTATCCAGAGTCTGTATTTAAGAAAACACGTCATGAAAGTGTGATTTTGTGTTTCTGTTGTCAGTAATTTGTCATTATGTGGTATTTTTTAATTGTTTGGTTTATTAAATGAGAGTCTGTATTTTAGAAAACACGCCAATTAAGTGTGATTTTGTGTATCAGATGTCAGTAATTTGTTATTATCCTACTGTACACTTTATTGTTACAGAGACGTTCAGAGCAGCAGCTGAAGCAGGCCCTGAAGATATTCTGAAGCTGTATAATAAGAAAGGAAACCTTCTCAATATATCGCCTAAACTAATGGAAAATACTCCTGACACACGCTACACACTGGAGGTAGTGGCCACGCAGTGCAATGGTCAGTAAACAGATGTAAATTGTAGATAGTTTAGTTTGGTCTTCCATACCTTTGAAGTATTAATACACATGTGCATTCATGCAGTTCAAACACTAGAAATTTGTAAAATGCATTATTTTGTCTGAATTCTTTTTAAAATTTAAAATTTGAAGATTATTGATTTTATAATGAAACTATTTGTAAGAAGGATTGAAATTTGTGCAACACTGCACAATTAAGTTAGCTAGCTCAAACAGCCTGATAAAGTGATTGAAAAATTTAAAAATATATATTATGATAGAAACCAGGAGAAATTGATGTAAACCTGCTGGGGCATATAAGCCAAAAGGAAAGTTTTTTTATTTAAAACCTCTCTTAAGATGTTCTGAAATACCAAGGGTAATTACATTTGCGAGCATATACCCATAATACAAATTGAAATGAAGTAATTGTATAAACTGTGTATATACTTGGTACTTAAATGAAATGTTGGGATTTTTTTTTTTTATTCCTGACTGCATCCAGATCTAAATACAGTTCTCTGTATTTGAAAATAAATGATATTTTTTGTTATAGAAACAATAAATTACCAGGTGCCATTACTACCAGTTTATTTTTCAGAATCTCAGCCGGGATCGCAAATAGGTGTGGATATAAGTATGATTGAGTCGAGGTGAGTTTAGGACAGTAAACAAGTAGTACTGCCAAATGTTATAGCTAGTTTGTACATCTGTATTTAGCTGAAACCTGTAGAACATGCAGTACCCTAGAAATGATTCTTTAGACTCAAAATGTTCTCAAATCAAACTCCTTCTATATACCTTCTCTTTGATTTATCAAATGAAGATTTTATCAGATCATGTATCTCTACGATGAAAAGAGAGGATTTGACTTATTTCAGACAAATAATGCATTTGTTTCATTCGAAAGTGCTTACCCTTCTGGTACACCTGTTCTTACTCTCCTTATATTTTTTCAGAAGTGTCTAAATATTTTTTTATGTTAATGTTTTGATTCATCAAAATTAAAAGTCAGGGTCACTTTCACATGCGACTTTCAAGTGAAAGTTAGTTGGAATATTTACTGTAGGTGTGGTAAATATGAATGGGCTTATTTCCTGACATGGGCTTATTGATGAGTAGATATGATGAATCTCTCTAAATTATGTCATCAAACTGCATGGGTTTTAATTATACCGACATTCATTACTTAATATTTAAGATTAAATGAAATGTAGTTATATTATTTTAATGAAGCTTCGTCTTGGCTGTAAAACTAAGTGCATTTCCCACATGAGGTGTATAAAACAGTACTGTATACCACCTATATTTTACATGGTATGTAGTTTTGCGTTTATATCCAAGGAGAACCAATTGCGAAATCAAATCTCGTGATTATTTGTACGAATCTCTTAATGACATCCTTGTCATTCAGAACTTTTACTTCTGTGTACACAATTGATAATACCTTATCATATTATCACAAAAATAATCTGCTAGACATGTATTGCATTCAAATATTCTTAGAACTCTGTAGTTTCAAATAACACCTGCATATTAAAATTGCAGACTATAGAACATCAAAGAATGGTGTTGTTCAAATGTACAGTTACAGGTCAGAGGTTGAGCATGTGGGCCACAATAGATATAATTGAAAATCCATGATGCTATTTTTGTGTTTTAAAGGTTTGAAAGTTGCTAAAATATTTACAATAACAGATTTTATGATGTGTGAAATATCCATTTCTTTAAATTACAAAATAAACAGTAGGAAAACCGTCAAAAAGTTACTGTTGTGATGACTACATGTACAATAAATATAAACACGTAATGTTAGATACTATGAAGTATGTCGTGACTATTGAAGTCCTGTCATCTTGCCTTAAAAACAGCTCACTTCTCTCTCCAAACAAAGAAGATGTGGAGTGTTCACATGCTTTTCTTTTATCTACATACTAACCTGTACTTGGGTAAATACAATTCAGTATGGACACAACATGTATCACATGACTAAATCACTTTGTATAGTTGCATGGCTCTCTTTGACAAAATGGCAGCCAATATGAAGGACATTTACCACGGGATATAGAGGAATTTTCTAGAGACCATGTTTTTTTTTGTTTATCATTCACAAATTCAAAGTCAAATTTAGATCAGCAGACACGAAATCATGTATTTGCGATTGTGTTGTCAGAGATGAGTTCGCAAAATAAAGTATTCACAAAATTTAAGTGATTTACAGTATATCAAACTTAGGTCATGTATCACAATGACTTTCATCTCTGCTTCAAAGGCATGAAAAGTAAAATCTAAGTATAACAAAAAAAACCACGTAAATGCACAGACTAATTATACTTGGATGTATTTACCACTAATTGGCTTCTTCTTTCCACATCATACCTTCCAAATTTCCAGAGGTTTAGGGGCATTTTTTTGATAAAATAGGGTTAAGTTGACTCTATGTAATAACCACACTCTACTGATCTATTCAGAAAACAAGACAATCAAAACATTACACAGTTTTTAGAAAAATCTATAAATGTGCCCCTATTTTTAGTACCTTAGGGACAATTTTTTTAATCATCCTGTAAATGTTTCCTAGTAAGGAAAATTCATCTTCTTCTGAACTTAGACTGGCTCCGACTATTAATTTTTCTTCATTCTCCAATCGTCTTGTACACTAGTTGTTCACCAAACAAAGGATATACAGAACACCCTGCTTAGTGGATGGCATCCAAGCAAGGTATATAGAACCAATTAAACCTTAATCATTAGAGTTCAAAGGTTATTTGTTCAAAAGTAAGTTTATAGTCATGTATTTGATATTGGGAAGACAGAAAATGAATATAATATTGGGAAGACAGAAAATGAATATCATATTTGGGAGACAGAAATTGAATATAGTGCTGGTAAGGCAGAAATTGAATATAATATTTGGGAGACAGAAATTGAATATAATATTTGGGAGACAGAAATTGAATATAATATTGGGAAGACAGAAATTAAATATAATATTGGGAAGACAGAAATTGAATATAATGTTGGGAAGACAGAAATTGAATATAATATTTGGGAGACAGAAATTGAATATAATATTGGAGACAGAAATTGAATATAATATTGGAGACAGAAATTGAATATAATGTAGGGAAGACAGAAATTGAATATAATGTTGGGAAGACAGAAATTGAATATAATGTTGGGAAGACAGAAATTGAGTATAATATTGGAGACAGCAATTAAATATAATATTGGGAAGACAGAAATTGAATATAATATTTGGGAGACAGAAATTGAATATAATATTGGAGACAGCAATTAAATATAATATTGGGAAGACAGAAATTGAATATAATGTTGGGAAGACAGAAATGAATATAATATTGGGAAACAGAAATTGAATATAGTATTGGAGACAGAAATTAAATATGATGTTGGGAAGAGAGAAATTGAATATAGTATTGGGAAGATAGAAATTGAATATGTTAATGGGGATACAGAAATTTTTAGATACCAATGTGCTTTATTCTCTAGGCAACAACAAATGTGTGTGCTTTAATAGGTCGAATACGAGAATCTAGTCATTTAACCATGATATTAAGGGGTTATAGGTCTGCAGGTTAAGCAGAGAATCATACATCTGTCATGTATGACTATAAAATGTATTAATGGTAGGAAACACTGGAAAAATATTCTGATATATCTCAAGCTAAAATCTCACAAAGGAAGAGATAAACCATCCAAACATTGTATACTTTAATTTACAAACTTTTGATTTTTTTTATCGTTGGAAAAACCTGCCATCCATCTTACGACGCTCAATAACCACATTTTTGGATTTAATGTCCTGCAGTATGTGCTTTAGTGACACTTATTCATAAGATTTATATGTGCCATTAAATAGTACATGCACGGAAACAGATTTTTTGTGGTAGTGTCATTAAAATGAATTGTAAGTCAAATGAGAATCAGACGACTTTGAACATTTAATGATAAAAAAGATGAATTGGATGTAAAAGACATGTTAAATTATGCAAATACATCTGGTGTGATTTTTATTTCAATTTTTGTTTAGCCCATCTGATCTGAATTAGGACTGGTGAGCTTATGTCCTAGCTCACATTGTGTCCGGTTTCTTTAGGCATCTGTCAGATGTTTGTCATCTGGTGTCAGTTACTTTTTGTAATAAAAAATTGCTACTACATTGTAGTTGTAAACATCTGAATGGATTTTAATCAGGTTTGGTCAGAAGCATCTTATTTAGAAAGGTCTATAGATTTCTCTTCCTTTTATGGGAATGATTAGATTTTGTCCCAAACTGGGACATCCTTGGGTGCAGGGAAATCAATTTTGTACAAATGGTGGGTCTGAACACTCTGGGACCAGAGGGGCAGGATCTAGTAGGAGAAATTAAGGCATTATTTAAATTCATTCTTCTGTATAAATGCCAGGATTCTGTCCCAATTTGGTCTGAAGCATATTTTGGCGTAAGGGGAATCCATTTGGTATAAACAATGGGTTTCAGGAACCTGAGGTGAGGCCCTAATAGGTCCTGGACTTATTGTCCTGTAATAAGCACACCTTGTGACAGTAAATCAGAGGTAATGTGTTAGGTCCTATATTCATTGTGCTGTAACAACCCCACATGCTTAGAAAATTTACGTGACTATTAGTTTAATTCTATTTCTGTAGTAAGATAATTTATACTTAAGTCTGGTCCCATTTCTTTAATCAGATATAATGTAGACTAATTATAGTTGGGCCAGTTCCTTTAATTTGTGTAATAATTAAACTTAATTGTGGTCCCATGTCTGTAGTTAGTTGATTCATATTGAGGGTATTGAGAGAAAGTAGGAAATATATTATCAGTCTGAATCATGTAACTACAGACATGGGACCAAACTTGAGTCTGAATCATTTAACTACAGAAATGGGACCAAACTTCAGTCTTAATCACTTAACTACAGACATGGGACCAAACTTCAGTCTGAATCATTTAACTATAAACATGGGACCAAACTTGAGTCAGAATCATTTAACTACAGACATGGGACCAAACTTGAGTCTGAATCATTCTGTAGTTAAATGATTCATTTAACTACAGAATGGGACCAAACTTCGTCTGAATCATTTAACTACAGTTTTCATTTAACTACAGAAATGGGACCAAACTTCAGTCTTAATCACTTAACTACAGACAGGGGACCAAACTTGAGTCTGTCATTTAACTATAAACATGATTCAGACTGGGACCAAACTTCAGTTGAACCATTTAACTACAGACATGGGACCAAACTTGAGTCTGAATCATTTAACTACAGAAATGGGACCAAACTTGTTAAATGATTCAGACTGAAGTTTGGTCCCATGTCTGTAGTTAAATGATTCAGACTGAAGTTTGGTCCCATTTCTGTAGTTAAATGGTTCAGACTCAAGTTTGGTCCCATGTCTGTAGTTAAATGATTCAGACTGAAGTTTGGTCCCATGTCTGTAGTTAAATGATTCAGACTGAAGTTTGGTCCCATGTCTGTAGTTAAATGATTCAGACTGAAGTTTGGTCCCATGTCTGTAGTTAAATGATTCAGACTCAAGATTGGTCCCATGTCTGTAGTTAAATGATTCAGACTGAAGTTTGGTCCCATGTCTGTAGTTAAATGATTCAAGTTTGGTCCCA